CCAGGAACCCGAGGGCTCTCCGAGAGCCACGGAAAGAAAGGTATGGAAGACACTGGCTGCTGGGCTTTGCATGGGCAGGCAGCTGTGGGGGCCGGGGGGCTGGCTGCGATGAGCCCAAGCGCGTTCCTGCCCTCCCCACCCAGGAAGGGCAAACGCAGCTGGACCGCGGGGCACTTGCTGTCTCTCCAACGTTGTCCCTCGGGACGGTGCAGGAGGAACCTCCGGGAGACTTTGCTCCTCCAGAAACATTCACCCTCACCCTGTCCCTCACAGCCTGCACCCACCCTTTGGGAAGGCAGCTCCCTTCTTCCCTCCTCAGCAGCTTTCAGACCAAGTACAAACCTGAGCTGGAGGCAGGTGCTGCCCGTCAGGGCCAGTTGCCCTCCAGGCAGGTTGCCGCTCTCCTCAGCAAGGGCTGCGCTACAGCCGCCCTGCGCAGAGCTTTCTGCCTGCGTCCAGCCGCGTGCCCTTGGCCAGCCAGCAGACGCTAGTCCAACACGCAGCAGAAAAGGCCCAAAGTCCCACGTGGCGTTGCAAAAGCTTTTATTGTACCCTTAGACCATCGTGCCGGATCTGGCAAGAGCCTTGCAAACGTGACAGCCCTTGCCTCGCCAGCGCGGGGCAAGAGCTTCTGCCTTCTTCTCACTCGCCAGCAGCAGCGGCCCTTGGCCTGGGGCCTCTCTTCTTGCTCCTGGTCGTCTCCTTTTTGGGCGGCGAGGCCACACGCCGGCTTCGGGGGACAGCCCTGCGGCCGCGCCTGGGCACGCCGCCTCGCAGGAGCTGCTTGAGCAGAGAGCTCTTTCGCGCCGCCGCCTGCAAGTGCGACGGCGAAATGCGCTGCTGCTTGCTCTTCTTGGAAATCTTGCCGGCCGCGTCCATGGTCTTGTGCGTCACCCACTGCAGCACCGCAGCCAGGTAGACGGGGGCCCTGGCTCCCAAGCGCTCCGCAAAGCGGCCTCTGCGCAGCTGCCTGTCTACGCGGCTCACCGGGAAGAGCAGCCCGGCCCGGGAGGA